GCGGCTCCTGCTCATGGTCTGCGGGCAGTGTCGTGCACTGGGTTCAATCTGAGGGCCTTCTTTTCCCCAGGAGAAGCCGCAAACCTGAGCACCAGCTTTTGTTCCTGAAGTGTCCTAGAGGCAGTGGTGCTGGTAATCTCTGCTACCGCATGTGCACGGAGAGAAACCAGCCCAACCGGCAGAGCAGCTCCCACCGTGCCACTGCACGATGTGGATAGGCAGCTCCGATGGGTGGGAGAGGCTGAGCTCCTGCGCAGGGAGGTGGCAGCCACCTCCTTCCGCCAGAGAAACCTGATGCTGGTGGTGGCCCTGCTGACGTGTGGGCCCTTGGCCGTGTCCCCTGCAGGCGGAGCTGGGAGGAGGGTGAGGGATGGGTGCTTGCGCCCGCTCGGCTGCTTGGCGGCCAGCTCAAACCAACAGCCTGTGCCAGGCTCAACCCTCCCCTGCTCTCTCCTAGATGAGGTTCGGGCTGGAATCTACCGCCAGCTCTTCCACCCTGAGCAGCTCATCACGGGCAAGGAGGATGCTGCCAACAACTATGCCCGCGGGCACTACACCATCGGCAAAGAGATCATTGACCAAGTGCTGGACAGGATCCGGAAGCTGGTAAGTGACCATAGAGGGGGGATGCGTCCCCCTGGGCTGGGCTCCAGCATCCTGCTGGGGGTCAGAGCACAGCACAAGCCCTGCTGCACCCTGGGAGAGCTCTGCAGCTGCCCATGGCAGGGATGGACCAGGTCCTGAAGGACTTCTGAACAGTCAGATGTTCACAAGGAAATCCATCTCAGAGCAATCTCATGCATCTCTCCGCAGGCTGACCAGTGCACGGGACTCCAGGGCTTCCTTGTGTTTCACAGCTTTGGAGGTGGCACTGGCTCCGGATTCACCTCCCTGTTGATGGAGCGACTCTCCGTTGACTATGGCAAGAAGTCCAAGCTGGAGTTCTCCATCTACCCCGCGCCACAGGTCTCCACTGCCGTGGTGGAGCCCTACAACTCCATCCCCACCCCCCCCCAGAGCACTCGGACTGGTCCTTTATGGTGGACAACGAGGCCATCTATGACATCTGCCGCAGGAACCTGGACATCGAGCGCCCAACCTACACCAACTTGAACAGGCTCATCAGCCAGATTGTCTCATCCATCACAGCGTCTCTGAGGTTTGACGGGGCCCTGAACGTCGACCTGACCGAGTTCCAGACCAACCTGGTGCCCTACCCTCGCATCCACTTCCCCCTCGCTACCTATGCCCCCGTCATCTCCGCAGAGAAGGCTTATCACGAGCAGCTGTCGGTGGCCGAGATCACCAACTCCTGCTTTGAGCCGGCCAACCAGATGGTGAAGTGCGACCCTCGCCACGGCAAGTACATGGCCTGCTGCCTGCTGTACCGTGGGGACGTGGTGCCCAAGGACGTCAACGCCGCCATTGCCACCATCAAGACCAAGCGCAGCATCCAGTTTGTGGACTGGTGCCCCACGGGCTTCAAGGTGGGCATCAACTACCAGCCGCCCACGGTGGTGCCGGGGGGGGACCTGGCCAAGGTGCAGCGCGCCGTCTGCATGCTGAGCAACACCACGGCCATCGCCGAGGCCTGGGCTCGCCTGGACCACAAGTTTGACCTGATGTACGCCAAGCGAGCCTTCGTGCACTGGTACGTGGGCGAGGGCATGGAGGCCAAAAAGGACCGTGCTCCTTCCCCGTGTTACCTGCAGCAACCCTTTGCAATAAACATTTTCAGAGCCCCTGTGTCTGCCACTAATCCCCGAGCCGTATCAGTTTCTTGCCCGGTCAGGTGTGTGGTGAGTGCTTCAGCTCTGCTGCTGGTGCTGCTATGCTTCCTCCCAGCGCCCTGCTCCAGCTCCGGCTTGCTCCCCGCGCAGGTAAGGGCCCCCGGGGCCATGGCACACATCCTACCCCACTCGCTGCTCCAGCCAGGTGCGGGTACTGCTTCCTCATGTGGTGTATGACCCTACGGTATATGGCCCCCATTGTATCCTGGAGCCCAGGGGAGCAGATTTAGCCTGAGCAGGAAAAAAAATCCGCAGCTGCTGGCACTTCTGCCCACGTGCAGCCAGGGGGTAGGTGGGGTTGTCTGGAAGGAGGGTGGGTGAAGCAGTGGGAGCAGCCCGGCACCCCTGTCCCTGTGGCCACAGCGCGGGACAAAGGGCATGCCCGGCCCTGTGGTGCAGTGGGTGCACCCTGCAAGGGCATCCAACGCGGCATGAACCCCTGCGGCTGCTTTTCTGCTGTGTTGTGGCGAGAGGATTAAAGGAGGGGAACGCTCCCTTGGAAACTGCTTGTCTGCATCTCCTTTTTTTTTACCCCCTGCCCCTGCGGGCAGCTCAGCCGCTGCGTGTCCCAGGGAGCCCCTCCAGCCAAGGGTGGTTGTGCTCTCAGGCTCTGCTGACCCCCACCGGGGCAGGGCTGCTGCCCCTTCCCCCCAGGCTGCGCCAGCTCCCCAGCCTGGGCACCCACCTCCCTCTCCTTGGGAGCCAAGCAGCCCTGCCTGTTCCCCCGCCACCGCCTGCGCTGTGCTGAGCCCCCTTCCTGCAGTGCCAGCCCCTGAACAGCGGCGCCTGGCTCCAGCTGCAGGGTTGTGCTAACTCCCATTAGGAGCGCGCTGGGGCCAGGGATTAACTTTCCCTGCTTATTGCTAATGCTCCATACGTGCCGCCCCGCCGGGGCTGTCCTCCGCTGCCCTTCCCCTCCGGCAACGCTTGGCTGCTCGACCTAGACAGGGTGCCCTGCCCTCCTCGTGCCCCTGCCAGCACCCCCTCCCACAGACAGGGACACATCCACACCTCCGCAAGAACATCTTTTACTCCAAACACAAGGCAACGTTGGCGCAAGGAGCAGTGGCGGAGCCGGTGTTGGGTTCCCCCCGCCTTGTTCCAGCAGCGCACCAGGACCTGGTCCGCAGCTCTGCCCCGGGCAGGAGTGATCCTCCTGGGGCGCAGGGCTGCAGGGCCATGGCTGCCATCACCCAGGGCGTCCCACAGCATCCTCCTCTGCAATCCCCAGGGGAGGCAGCAGCACTGTGTTTAGCAGCAGGTCACACGTCCACAGTTCTGGGGCACAGAGCACATCCCAGGCAGCAGCATCCAGGGCACAGAACACTCCAAATCCAACACATCTCCGGCACAGAGCAGCAGCTCTCCCCCGAGTGCAGCAATCCCCTCTGCAACAGCTCCAGGGGGGAGCGGGGATGAGGGTAGCTGCTTTTCCCCCGGCTCATCCTCGAGGCGCATCACTGCTGTGGGGTGGGACAGGCTCAGATCTGCGTGGTGTCCTGGCCCGCCGGTGCTGGCTGCAGCCCCTCCAGCTGGTGGAGGACGTCATCTATGCTGGGTCGCTCCTGGGGGTTGAGTGTCATCATGGAGGAGAGCAGGCGCAGCAAGGCAGCCGAGTACCTGGAGGAGAGATGGGGAGCAGGGGGTTCTGCATGGGAGCAGCATAGGGGGTTGCCTGGGAGCAGGGTTGCCCTCCCCAGCCCCTCACCTGGTTGTGGGGGGTATGGCGATGGGGCTCTGCACTGCCAGAGCCACGCTGTCACCCTTCTGGAAGATAGCGTCGTAGGGGCCCTCCCCAAACATCATGCAGTACAGCACGCAGCCTAGGGACTGGAGCGTGGCGGGGTCAGGGCAGCCCTGCGGCAGGGGGCCGGGGGCCAGGGGGCTGGATCCTTACCCAGATATCTGTGCGCTCGTCTATGACGCACTGGCTCGGCACCGTGAAGAGCTCAGGGGCACGGTAGGAGATGGTGCAGCGCTGGGCAGCCCAGTCCTGCAGAGAGGAGAGTGAGGGTGGGGATGAAGGGCTTGGGGCAGGAACAGGATGTTGGGGTGATGTCCCAGGGCACCCACCTGCACGGCCATGGCCTCCCGAGAGCTGTTGACTTCGATACGAGCTTGGTTCATGGAGCCCAGGTCCATCAGAACGGGCCGGTCATCCTCATCCAGCAGCACGTTGGTGGGCTTCAGGTCCCTATGGGGATGGATGTCACCAAGCGCCTGCTGGGCCCCCTGCCAACCCCCCTGCCCCTGACCGGGGCTGCCAGACCCCTACCTGTGCGCATAGCCCTTGCTGTGGATGGCTTGCAGCCCGCGGCAGATGCCATGGAAGATGAGAAGAATCCGCTGCTCTGGCATGAAGGTCCCTTTCTTTCGCAGTGCTTCCACCTCACTCCAGAGGGTTCCCCCCTGGCAAAGGCAAGCAGCCGGTCACCCACTGCTGCTCCCAGCAGCAAGGGCATGGGGGCAGCCACAGGAGCCCCCCTCACCTTCACATAAGGCAGCAGGAGCCAGGCTTCATGCTTGGTACCCTTCTCCACCATGCAGTGGGCTTCCAGACGCAGGATGTTGGGGTGGTCAAAGAGGCCATGCATCTCCACCTCGTGCAGGGCAGCCTGGCGGTCCTCCTTGTCGTGGCACAGGATGCGTTTCAGGGCGTAGAAGCGCCCGTCCCGCAGCCCCTCCACCAGGTCCACATAGCTGAAGCCCCTGCAAAGAGCCGAGCGTGGTGTGGGCTGGCTGTCCCACTGCTGCGGTGCTCGTGTTGGGGCCCTGTGCCCAGCCTCAACTGTGAGCACCCAGAAGAGGCAGGCAGAAGGCAGCAAGTGCCTGCACCCCTCTCCATGGGGACCCCCCGAGCATGCATGTTCCCCCCACCTTGGGGGCAGCTGCCAGGCACCCAAAGCATCCCCCCTCTGCAAGAACAACCCCACTGGCCCAATCACCCCCACTCCCATGGGTCCAAGCACCCACTCCTGGGCATGACCGACCCCTGCCACCCACCATGAGAATCCTCTCCCGTGCCCAAACACTCCCTGTGCTCATGCACCTCTCCCCCCACACCTGAGCATCCCACACACTCAAGCAT